AAAAACACATCTCTTCCATCTTTATTTGACCCTCTAACTCTAGCACTCTCTATTCTAATTCTATTCTTTAAAAAAAACTTGCCCCTTTTAGACTTGCACTGTTCATTTACTAACTGCTTTTTTTCTTAAAAAAAAAAAAAAGTAACACTAGCTTCTCTATTCTTTTTGTATTGTATTGGTTCCCTTTCATGGGAACTTCGAACTGCGTCCTCTAGGGGTCGCTATGGGGAACGCCTTGTCGTGACCCGACGTCATGGCTGTCGCCGGCCAACGAGGTGGTGTTTTTTCAATGTATGCTTCAGACACGGGTCACGACGAGGCGTTCCCCATAGCGACCCCTAGAGGACGCAGTGTCTCGTTCCCTACTCAGGGAACCATGGTTACATAAGTAACCTGAGACGTTTTCTTTTATTTATTATACAATTAACAAAAAACCTTGCTACGTGTACTACGTTAAGCTAACTGAGACTCATTTGTTGATTTTGATTGCTTCAATTGTCTTCATTTGTAAGTCACTTTGGATAAAAGCGTCTGCTAAATGACTAAATGTAAATGTAAAATTATTTAAATGCTACTATTACTTAAATTATTTAAATGTATAATTACTACAGATAAATTTTTTTTTATAACCAATACAGATTATTTGCATGTTTATGTGCCCAATAACCGATATGCTGAACCGATATTTATTTATCTATTTACTTCTGTTTATAACACAATGATAACAAGTATCGGTAGATTTTAAAAATTACAAAACTCATATCCGATTAGGGAAAAATGCTTAAATATTGGGGAAAAACTAAAATTTTCGGTAACACTTTATTTTACAGTCCCTTTGTTACACGTTTTTACTAAAGTAAAAAGTGTAAATTATGCATAATTACTATTATTTAAATGCTATTACTTAAACTACTTAAATGTATAATTACTAGAGATCAATTTCTTTATAACCGATATTGATTATTTGCATGTTTATGTGCCCGATAACCGATATGCCGAACCAATATTTTTTTTTAGTTCTGTTTTTAACACAATGATAACAACATATCGATTCAATATTACAAAACCAATATCAAATTATGGAAAAATTTTTAAATATCAGGAAAAATATCTAATAATTACACTGTAACAAGGACACCTTAAAATAAAGTAACCCAATTTTGGTTTTGTAATGTGCAATCAGTAATGTACTAAAATTTAATACTCGTCACTAACCTTGCTGCTGAAGTTTGTACTCGGTTGAGTATGTTTTCCCGATAATATTCCACACAGGTCTCAAACATCCGAACAGCCCCTCCAGAAATCCACCGCTGCCCGTCCCAGCTCTATGAAAGTGCAGTTTGATGTTGTCATGCGGATGGGGGTGCGTGTCGTCTCCGCTGTGGTCCATCGGACACCCGCCCTCCTCGTTTTTCTCCTCCCCGCCGCTTCTGCAGCCTCCCTGACTGCAGGATCCCGGCGTCTCGGCCTCCTCATGTTCCTGCAGCTGCAGAACGCTGTTTTCGAAGTGTCCCTGCTCCCGCGTCGAGTCCTCGCTGAGGGCGGTGCACGGCGGGCTGGTGCCGCCTGGCTCGTCGTCCCTGCAGGGAAGCTGAAGCTGCTGCAGCGGCATGGGAAGGGTGGTGGGCGGAGCCAGGTCTGCGATGATCTGCGGCAGAGGCGCCGCCGGAGGAAGCAGCGTTTGAGGAGAAATGTTACTGTTGGTTTTTTTCATGGAGTCGCCGACGACCGTGAGCTTCAGCTCTTCCTTCAGCTTCCCCACCAGCAGGCTGGGACAGGACGTCCAGGACAGCACCTCCGGGGAGCTTCCCATGGTGCCGTGCGTGTGTATGGGCAGACCCCCTCCTCACCCGACGGGAAATGAGCGGCCAGGCTTTACAGATGAATTCTGTCGGGTTTTATGACACACCTGCAGGAGAAAGACAGATATGCATTTAAAAACAGTCTGATGGGTGCAGCTTAGTGGAACGGAACTTTTTTTTTCAATTTTTTTTTTTAGAAACAAAGTTTTTAAAACTCAAACATGAAGCAAGATGCTGAAGAAAAAACAAGGCATGACAAAGATTGTTGATTTAAAAAATTTGGTGTTTGCAAAGTTATTTGAATAAATAAAAAAAAATTATCTAATAAAAATAACATCGGACACAGACACAATTATTAACAATATTCCCAAATTTTGTGTAATGTAAATAACATTACACAAAATTCACAAATATAGAGTAAAAGAGGCAACTTAATTAGTTTCAACTTTTGAATGTATCCATTTTAGTAATTACTGTATAATGTAATTTTTAAAATAATAACTAAATGTTTTATACTAATTTTATTATAAATATAAATTCTAAATATATATATATAATATATATAATAAATATAAAAAAGGCACTTTAATTCAATATAACTTTTTGATGTATACTTTAGCAATGAATTAATAATGTATATTTATAATAATTGAAATTTCTATATTTAATTTATTGTAAAAGTAAATTATAAATACATTTATATGAATAAATATGAAAGTTGCCATTTAATTTGAACTTTTTGAACTCTGATGTACATTTTTGGTAATTTTTTAGTATTAATGAATAATGCAATTTTTATATTTTAATAATTATATTTCTTTTTTATATGTAATTGTATTATAAAAATAAGTTATAAATACATTTATATGAATATGATATTTATATGAATATGAAATATGTATTTAAAATAATATTAAATATTGTAAAACATTACAATTAATTACAATATTACAAGTTAAAAGACCTGTTTTTATACATTTAAACAGCATGTATGTGAAAATATACATTTTCTGTAACATTACAAATGTCTTTAATGTGACTTTTGATACATTTATTGCATCCTTGCTAAATAGAAGTACTAATTTCTTTAAAAAATATTTATATATAATTAAAAAAAAAAAGTTATACACATTCTGGATTTTTTAAGTTTGTCGCAATGCATTCTGGGATTACCTGCACCTATCAAGCATGCATGTGATGCTGCCTGAGACTTTTGGAACAGGCTTTGCATCGGGAGCTCAACTACTGTATGTTGCCTTAAAATGCTGCCTACATAGGCAGCTCACTAGATTTCAGAACAGAGTGCGAAAATTATCCGTTTAATGAATTTGAGAAATACAAACACTCGTTTTAAACAGCAACTACAGCTCTGACTGCTAAATAAAGACTGAAACGGTTGATCATTTTAATTTCCAATCTCATTCCGCACACAGCAGGAGACGGATTGGAGGCATCTGCATGAATGATTATCTCTTTAGAGAGAGAGAGAGAGAGAGAGATTCTGGGAAGCCGTCGTTGTGATCCGGTCTCTGTTGATCGACTGTGTTAGTGCTGCTTTGAGATTAAAGCAGAACGAGTATTAGAAGCTCTGAGAGCCAAACATCTGGCACACACTGCTCACGCTCTCTCTCTCTCTCACACACACACACACACACACACACACACACACACACACACACACACACACACACACACACA